TCTGGGCTAGAGAGGATGAACTCGGCTTGGGGCTTGTTGAGACTGACATGTTCATGGACATCTGGGTAGAAATCTGGATAGTAGATCAGCTGGGCTGGAAGCAGATTTAGAAGACAGCAGGGTGAGGATGCAATGGAGTTTGTGGACATGGGTGAGATCACCTATGTAATGTATGCAGAGAGAGAGAATCAGAAGTGAAGGATGGGCTGAGTTCCTTGGAGAAATACGAGGGTCCCTCCTGCCCTGGAGGAGCGGTAAGCCGGTAGCTGCCTGATGACTGCCCTCCTGGTGCTCCCCAGGCCTCGGGGCTGTCTGAATGGATGGGGAAGCAGATGGAGCCCTTGCACGCTGTGCCCCCCGGAGCCATCACCTTGATCTTGTCCTTACTCATTGCTGTGTTCACTGAGTGTACAAGCAACGTAGCCACCACCACCCTGTTCCTGCCCATCTTTGCCTCCATGGTAAGTAACCCTGCTGGGGGATACCACCCTTAGCCCATAGGAAGCTGTCAGTCCATGGCCACATCCTGGGTCCCTAGAGAGGCAGTGAAATCAGGGGCCAGAGCCTAACCAGGCTTTGGAGACCTGGATCTCAGAGCCCTGGCTCTGACCTGGACTGTGTGCCCTTGATGACCCTGGGGCTGCCCTCAATGCTTTGCTGGTTCTTCTTTGTATCCTCCGTGCTGAACAAAGTGCTAAGCAAGAACCAGGTGCTCAGAATTTAATTGTAAATGTGTTGATTATTTCTCAAGCTGGGGGATGGGACGTGCACCGAGGAGGAGGGGGCCAATGCCATGGCACGGCAGAATGGCAGAGGGTCCCTGGGTGTGCAGCATGGGTGTGTGAGAGGACTGCAGAGCGGGGGGACACGGCTGGCTGGAACACACCAGGAAGAGGTCTTGGGGAACTGGGGCTTGGGAATGGTGGGAGACGAGAGGATGTTCAGGGAGGACGGAGCAGCCCAAGAAGTGAGACTTATGGCTGGAGACACCCAGAAGCCTTGCTCGGGGAGCTCAGGGATCAGGGATCACCGGGAGTTGAGTGCAGAGAGCGGGTGGGTGGTGGTGGAGGAGGACGCTAGGGCCAGGCTAGAGAGTTTAGTTCTGTGGGAAACCATATTTTGAAGTTGGGACTGAGAAGAAAGCAGAGCTTATGGAAAATGGGCTGTGATCCTTCCCTGCACTTCCTTCTGTTACCCATCCCATGGCAACACTCTCCTCAAGGTGGCACAGAAAGAAGCCTGGGCTTGGAATCAGGAGGCCTGAGTTCCAGTGTGGGAGCCTTGCACATATCTCTTAAGTTCTTGCCTCCTACATTTGTGCGTAGGGTTAAGTAAGATGAGAGATATGAAAATTCTCTGCAAAACAAGCCTGGAAGGGGCAGTGGTGGTTATTCTGGAGTTGGGAGACAGACTTACAAAGGCCTCAACTCCAACAGGATTGAAGTTGGTAGATTTCCATTCGGCTGCCAGGGCGTCCACATATATAAAAGGCAAACCCAAGTGGTTTTCTCCTTCCATGCCAAGTAAGGATGAAAGTGTTAGAAATAGCAGCAGCCCTGTCTAACCCTCCCCTAAGTAGGCTGCACAGATAGATGTCCAGGAGTGTCTTTGATGCTGGGCATGCAGTGGTGAGGCCCTCCCTCCCCTAGCAAAGGCCTGACTTTCTCACTTCCAGTCCCAAGCTGGACAAATGGAGGTCTTCTTTGGAGAGAGTGGTTAGGCCCTTTGAATACCAGCTTTTCAAGAACCAGAAGCCCTCAGCTACCCCAAGGCCCCTCACAATCCTGCCTAGGTACCCACCTGCAGGGATAGGAAAGGTGGGGAGCCTGCCCGTGAGCTGGGTCACAGAGACACATGGGGTGTCCAAGGCCACGACACAACGGGGAACCAGGAAACAGGCTGGCTCCTGCCTAGGACCTCTCAGTAACTCCCAGAGGGAGTGTAACTTGATGCAGCCTTTTCAGATACCTGTTTACTCACAGGAACCGTAACCTGAAACCTACTCCATACTCTTGACTCAGCAGTTTCATGTCTGGCAATAAATGTATCTGAGGAAAATCATCATGGGGCCTCTTATGCAGTTGCACATCATACATTATAAAAATATTTCCATAATAATAGGGGATTGGTAAAAGAAGTTATCATATATCATACAATATAATACAATTAAGCCACTTAAAAAAAGTCAGTTTTGAAGGGTATTTAATACAATGGGAATATGTATAATTTTTTAAAGTTGAAAATGTAATAGATACACACAGCTGAAAAAATGTCTAATAATACCAAAGAGTATACAGACCTTAACCCTGCAGGCTCCTCCCTAGAGACAACTTCTGTTACTCATTTCTTAGGTATATTTCTGGGTATATCACACACACACACACACACACACACACACACACACACACACACCCCTACACATTCAGTCTCTTTTTAAACAAATGATATCATTCTATGATCTTGTTCTGCACCTTAATTTTTTTAATCTAATCATATGTCATGGAGATCTTTCTATGTTAGTATATAAAACCTACCCATTCTTTTTTTATAGCCACAAACTATCCCATTGTTTGCACAAATGTACTTATTTAACCATTTGGCTATTATTGATGGCCATTGAATGTTTCCTGAGTATTTTGCTGTCATACTGTTGCAATGAACATCTTTGCATATGTGTCTGCTGTCATGTGCATGTAAATCCGGAATGATAGATAATTAATTTTGATATTGACAGATACTACAAATTATATTATGAAATCATTCATTCATTCAACAAATATTTACTGAATGCCTGTCTATTCTGTGCTCTGGTCGATGGGACTGACTTTGAAGCTGTAGAGTAAAAAAGATGGATGTCAAAGTCCACATGCTAAATGACCCCAAAGATGTATAAAAATGCATAACATACATAGGTGCACACATAGGTGAGAAGATGCGGTTCCTGCCCTCCAGGCTCTCGTCTGTGGCGGGACAGATAGATGTGCACATGCGGGTTGCAGAAACACCACAAGGTTCAGGGTGAAGTGCCCAGCACAAGAAATATATGTTGAATGAATTGAGGAGGTCTGGAAAGGCCTCCCAGGGAGGGAGCTCTAAGTTCAGCCTTTAGGGGCCAGCTGAGTTATCATGGCAGAGGGTAGGGAGCCAGCAGGACAAAGGCACAGAGTGCGAAGGCATCCCTGCATTGGAAAGATGCTTCTCAGAGTGGCGGTCCCGGGGAGCTTTTGTTTTCTGTATCTAATGCTGCAGTACTGTGTTTTTTCCCAGTCACGTTCCATTGGCCTCAATCCACTGTATGTCATGCTCCCCTGTACCCTGAGTGCATCCTTTGCCTTCATGCTGCCTGTGGCCACGCCACCTAATGCCATCGTGTTTGCCTATGGACACCTCAAGGTTTCTGACATGGTAATGCAGTGCTTTTATTTACTCCTATCAGCTGTGATGCTTCTGTCATAAGGGTGACCCATTAACTGATGACGTGGTGTCCTATGATTTGGGAATACCACCAAATGTCCAGACCTATAATCATTACTTGCATTTATCTGTAGCTTTTCTTCTGTTTTGAAATGATTTCACATTTCATAAACTGTTCTGTCCCCCAAAAGCTATGAGGTGGCTTATAGAATGCCCCATGTGGAGGTGCCCTTGCTGAGCACTTGGAAGGGGTGAGGGTGGGGGTCCCTTGTGAAGGTGGGCTTCAAAAACTAGCAAAAACCCATAAGGACATTCAGGAAAGGCAAGCCTGAGATGGGGGAAGATGCTAATGAGAGACCAAAAGTTTTTGAGGTGTCTGTAGACAAAGAAGCAGGGAGGGGGAGAGAGCTGCTGCCTGGGAGCAAAGGATGCCTTGGAAACAAGTGCGGCCAAAGGAGGCGCTCCTCAGTTCTGCACTGGCTCCTCACCTAGGATGAGAGGAGGGCAGCTTTGCGGCTCCTGGACAGGGAGAGGAAGGGTGCGAGCTCAGGGGGCCAGAAGTGAAGGTCTCTACCTCAGCCCCATCAGGTGTTAGTTATCTCATAGCCTCCCCTGGGTATGTCTGGGGCTCCCTGGGGCATTCTTGCAAAGAGGGTGGATTCCCGAAACCATGGATTGCAAACTCAATTCCAGTCCCCAGTAAATTATTTATGACAGGGTTTGAAAGCAATGAATAATGAGCATGTGGTAAGAACACAGAGCAGGCACAGAAGGAGCCAGAGGAGGTTCTTGGGAAGCCAGTACGTGCTTGTGAGACAGTGAAGGTGCTGGGTGAGCCCTGGACCTAGAGTCAGACCTGGTTCCCCCTGATAACTCCCTGAGCAGCCTGGGGTTATTGCCTCACAGCGCTTCCCTGAGGCGCAGCTTCCCCGATGCTCAAGTGGGCATAGAGAGGCCCCTGTCCTGCCTGTTTCCAGGGATTCTTTGAGTACTGATGACACTGACCGGGCTTGAAGTTGCTTTGTTGGGGGCTGGGGTGAGCCCAGAGCAAGGCCCAGGGATGGGAGGCCCAGCAAACCAGCCTTTGTACCCTCCCCTGAGAGCGCCAGTTCCCGGTGTCCTGTTCATCTTTGTTCTGACAGCCTGGCAGACCTGAGGGTGCTAACTGTGACCCTGTTTTTTTCCAGGTGAAAACAGGACTAATGATGAACATAATTGGAGTCTTCTGTGTATTTTTGGCGGTCAACACCTGGGGACGGGTCATATTTGACTTGGACCATTTCCCTGACTGGGCTAATGTGACGCATATTGCTCCTTAGGAAGAACCACAAGACTCTGTGTACAGGCCCTGCCCTCCTCAGGATTCCCGAAACTTCCGTACACCTTGTAGCAGAGCTTTGGGGTTCACAACCCAAAGGGACCCAGTGACGCCCACATCCTACAGAGACCCAGCCAATGGCCCACCTCTTCCTCCAGGCCCGGGTTCATAGCTGTGGATGGGAGGCTGGTGGGCAGGCTCAGAAGTGAAGGGAGCCTCCCGAGGCGGCTGGCATCCATCTTTACTGGGGACCTGCTATCATCTCTGGGACAGGCAGGCTGCAGAGGGACCAGTATAGAGGCCCCTGTCCCCACCTGGCCTCCAGGTGGCCCTATGTTAAGGTCTGGAGTCCACGTTTTGTTCGAAGGTCACCTAAATGGGACTCAGAGCCCCATCTGCAAGGTGAGAAAACCACCTTCCAGAGCCTGTGCTTTTGCACCTTACTTTGGGCAACCTTGGCTCACTCCTGTCACTTGGAAGGGACAACCCAGCCCAGGGACAGAACATCTGGTCCTGGGCAGCTTCCCAGCACTGGTGTGAGTGGGAATCAGACCTTCCCGGAACTACCAGGGATATGGCGCCACCACCAAAGGATGAGGAATTTAAACTGAAACATCCAGGTGACACCACCCACAGCATACCCCTGGCTACCCTGCTCTTGCCTTCCCTCCTTCCACTTTAACTGATAATTTGGACCCTTTCCCAGCTCTGTGCGGTACACCTCCCCCCCACCTCCTAGGTCCCTTTGTTGTCTGGGCCAACATTTGCTGGAATTCCCTGGCTGGGCCCTCTGGCTCCCCTTTCTCTCCCAGGCACGTGAACTTCGCTCTCTTGGGAGATGCTTGTCCACACAGCAGCCCACACAGCTGGGATCACACTCCAAGCACAGGCAGCAATGCTCTTTGGGGCCATAGTCATGTACCTAGGTCCTCCCCCACCTGCAGGCCCAGAGTGGGCACAGCTGTTAGTTGCACTCTGAAGCAGGGTCCCTTCAGAGTTCGTCGGTTATGCTAGAGTGTGAGCTCCACTGGGGAAAGCCCTCCCTTTGCTGACTGTCCTCTGCAGCAATGCCTGGTAGTAACAGCATCGCTGAGAGTGAACAGTGCTTGGTGGTCCCTGAGTAGAAGCCCCTGCCCATGAGCAAACCTACCCGAAGGTCCTGGGCAAAGACTCCGGAGTGGCCTTGGGAACCCTCAGAACCCAGGGAGAGAGACATGAGAGACACCCGCCCTCTTGTCCACCAACCTATTTTCTTTCCTCCTTGTGTTTGGAAGAGACATATGAGGCTCACTGACGGCATTTTTAAGGGCAGGAGAAAATATGGGGGCCCAGGGTACCCCACTCAAGGACCCAGCATGTATCTGGTTTGCTGGGTAAGATGGTTCCTGACAGTCCCCTCTGTATGCACGGAACAGGGCACTGAGTTGACCGTCCCTGGCTTTCCGCCATGTGTGGGGGCGGGGACAGGTAGGTGAATAAACTCTGCCCACCTCGTGTGTGCCGGCCCCTCGCACCCGGAGCACGCGATCTTTATCTGCCCCCATCTCTGCAGCAGCCCTGTGAAGGTGGCAGCTGCCATTGCCCTCCTTTATCTGTCACCAATACTGAGGCTCGGAGAGGCCAAGATGTGTGTCCAAGGTCCCATTGGTAGCAGGTAGGGTTCCAGTCCAGACCTTCTGCCTCCACGTCCACTGCTCCTTCCTCTAGCCACTAAGGACCGTGGCCTTATAGGGCCTACATGGAAAGATGGGCAGCCAAGAGGCCAAGGCCCTGCCTGCTCAGGGGTGAGCACTAAACAAGAGCCCCTTTCTGCTGCCTCCTTGGAGGGGCTCTGGAAAGTGTTGGAGCAGACAGGGCTGGTCTTTGCCCCAGGCAGAAGCACCTGGTTGGAGAGAGCAGCGTGAAAATGGCTACCTGCTCTGCTGCTGCCACTATTGTCCACACCACTGCTGTTGGCCTGTCTGCCCCACCAGTCTGGGGGCTCCCCAAGGGCTCACCCCACCTGTGCACCCAGATCGGGCACTGTGGCTGACCCAAAGCAGGCCATCCAAGTGTGACTGGTAAACAGATGGTCCCTCAGTGTGGGCAGGTAGATGCACACCTGGTAGTAGTGAGCAACGTTAGGAAGGTCGTCCAAGGCACTGAAGGATGGTAGGGTGGGGAAGGCTGTGCTGGAGTGGGTGGGTGACATGGGGGATTCTATCTGGGTGAGGGCTGACGGGAAAGCTGGGTGGGGGCTTCAGGAATGCAGACTCAAGGCTCAGAAGGGTGACCAAAGGCTGTTTGTAAAATAACTTCTCTTGAAGTAGGCTGGAGTTGTACTAATAGTATGGCCAGTGTCACCCAGGATTGCTTTTGGCTACAAATAAGAGAAAACTCAGTTGACAGCAGCTTAAACCTTAAGGGCATTGATTGTCTACTTAACAAGAAGTCTGGAGGTAGACGGTTGCTGGCATTGGTCCAACAGTTCACTTAGGCCACCAAGGACTTAAGCTCCATCGATCCCTATGCGTGTCACCCCTTCACTGCCAGCCTTGACCCTCAGGCTATATACACATCTGCATTGAAGGCAGGAAGAAAAGGGTGTGGGATGTGGGCATGACGGTTCCTATTGAATCTTTCCCTTTTATTAGGAAAGCAAAAGCTTTTTCAGAAGCCCTCCCAGTATTCCCATTATGTTTTATTGGCCAGAACTAAGTCATACGCCTACCCTTAGGCCGATCATTGACAAAGGGGAATTGGAGTACCACTGGAGAACCAGGACGCCAGTTAGGACTCATTTCTTGGGCTTGGGGAATTGGCCTCTGTTTCCTGAAATCAAGAGATTTCCACCCAAACAAAATCTGGGTTCTGGCAGGAAAAAAGGAGGAGGAGCTTTTGGGGAGGTGATGAACAGCATCTGGTATTATGATCCTTTCAGAGGACTGCCCTCACTCCAGCCTGCTTGAGTGGTTCCCTTTCCATGGAATTCAGCAGAAACACATTCTCAGGTTGGAGTAGTATGTGGTTGCCTGGTGGAGGGCTTCTCCTCTGCCTCTGCTTCCCAAAGGCAAGCCTTTTCCAGGAGGCTCACTGGATTGGGAGGCTGGAGTTGAGCTTGGTCCTGACATCTGACACCAAATAAGTCAGTCTACTCTCTGGGCCTGTTTCCATCAGAAAGGGGCTGGACTAGAGGATTTCTAAGTGCCTTTCCCCAGAATCATGGATCCCCTCAATCCAAATGACCCTTCATCTGCTTGGGCCAGATGCAGCCTCTGTCCTCAGTCTCTGTGTTGTCTCAGTTTGGAATCTATTACAAGGCCCAGTCCCTGCCCCTCTGTGGGTCTTAGCCATTTGCTGAAAGCCTCCCTTATCCAACTTTTTCCCCACTGACATTTTGTCCCTTACATTTTGTAAGAGGTTCTACCCAAGACCAGTGGGTTCTCTTTTTTTAGCATCTGGATCAGACATTCGGGCCCAAGGTTGGCTAAACACAATCTTGACCAGGACTGCTTTCTAAATTGCTTTGCCAAGGACTTATGACTCCACAAGGATCCTGTGCATTGCCAAGGTCAGGCTTCTTGGGCTCCTTATCCTCTGATCCTGGAACTGGGATCCCTGCCTGTCCCTCTGGGCTGGGAATTTCTGTAGGGAAAGATTTGTCCTCCTCCTCTGGCCAGGCCAGTGAGCAGGGCCTCTTCCTGGGACAGCTAAAGTCTTCTCTCCTCTCACCATCTCTTGCAGCCCAACAAAAATAATGGCTAGTGGTACTTTTGCCCTGGACTCTAAGCAGGGAATCAGCTCACTAGCATAGAGTTCACTTCTCAAATTGAACACGGACATTCTCAGGTAAGACCCTTGATGGCACATTCTTGTTTGTGAAAACACAGACCAAAAGTTGGAATGTCTGGTTAAAAAGCACCCGGCATTCTGCTGCTAGCTCAGAACTTCCTTCTTCCAGGTACTCTCTCCTTCTAGTCTCATGGCCTCTTAGAAGCCTTGACTCCCAGCCCACCAGGGAAGCTTCTTCTCATGTTTAAAAAGAAAAATTCTGGATAGATCTACCACACGATTTGATGGGTTTTTACATTTGTCAACAGAGCTTATCATTTCAGGCTGAAATCGCTGACATCCGATACTCAGTTTATTTTCCCTGGTGTCCTGAGCCAGGGCTTAGGGTCTTACTTCCCTGCCTGGGGAACATCTTCCAGGGCTTCCCTGATCTGCTCGCCCAGATGCCCTCAGAGACACAGGCTGCTCACTGCCAGCGGCTTTACAGCAGCATTTCTGTCCCTGCTTCCACATATCAAGGGTAGAGAAATATTAAAATCCAACCTCAGAACACCCTGTTATTCAACCAAGAAATTTTAGCTACTTTTTATATTTATAAAGTGAATGTGAACACAGCAAAAATAAATCCCAACAGTACCAAAGAGTACTGAGACATGTCCCTCCCACTTCAGACTTGAGGCCTCCACCTCCCTCCAGAAAGGCAACCACTGTCAACAATTTCTTACATATCCTTCCAGAATTATTACAGACTACATAATAGCTGTCTAACCACTTTATTACATATGGGAGCATACTACGCACATTTCCTGTCCTTGTTTCCACCCCTCCCCATGAATTTATTTGGAGATCATTCCATTTCAGGACATAATAAGCTTGGTGCATTCTTCTCCTTCAATAGTTAACCGTGTTTTAAAATGGGGGTAAAATTAAATTCTGTGAAATCGCACACATCTTAAGTGTACAATTCAGTAATTTAGACAACTGGATACATCATATAAGCAACACCCCATTTCCACCTCCTTCCTTCCTGAAAGGTCCCTTGCCTCTTCCAGTAATCTGCACCTTCCCTAGGCAACCACTGTACTGATTTCTGTCACCACAGGTTGGTTTTGCCTGTTGAACTTCATATAAGTGAATCAGACAGTGCATTTTTTGTGTGTGTATGATTTATTTTGCTTATCACAATGCTTTTGAAGTTCATTCCTGTTGTTGTGTGTATTCCCTCATTCCTTTTATTATTGTTGCTAAGTGTTGTTCCACTGTATGAATAGGCCAGTTTGTTTCTTCTTCCTTGATGCACATTTGAGTTGTTCCAGTTTGGGGATCTTCTGAATAAAGCATTTATGAGATTATTTGCACAAGTCTTTTGTGGACATATGTTTTCATTTCTTTTGGATATGTGCCAAGGAGTAAGCCTCAATTTTTTAAAAAGCTGCATAATATTCCATTGTAAGTATATGTCATATAATAATTCCCTTGTTGAAGGGCATTTGGGTGGTTTCCAGTCTTTTGCCAATACTGTAATAAGCATGTCTACATTTACATCTTTGTAAACCTATGTGAGGAGAATGGTTTCCCACAATGGTTTGCTGGATAAATTTTATCCATGCTTGGCTGGATAAAAGGGTGTATGTATTTAAATCTGGAATACTGCCAAATGGCTTTCCAAAGAGGTTGTGCCAATATGTATTCTCAAGAACTATTGATGAGACCTTATTCTCACCTTAGCAACTCTGTGTATAATCAGACTTCTCAATCTTTGCTAACCTCAACAACTGAAGAATGCTAGTTCATGACTGTCATTTCTTCAAATTGCAATTAATGTTAGAATTGTTTTCACATGCTTATAATCCATTTGTGTATCTTTCTTGGGTAAACTCCCTCCCCATCTTTTTCCCTTTTCCAATAATTTTTTCAAATGCCTTTTCTTACTCATTTCTAAGAACTCTTTATATATTAAATAAATAAACCACTTGTTACAGGGAATGGTTAGATATATGTTAAGATCTGATGAAGCTAGTTATTCTCTGTTTACTTCTCCTTTACATGTCTGCCATTTCTGTCCCCGCAGCCATTATAAGATATTTTTCCCTAAGAATTTCTGAATCAGCTTCTGTAGCTCCAAAGGAGCCCTGATTGGCATTTACCTCTGTGGCCGGCTCCCTACCCACCACTCTCCCTCCCTCCCAGGGCTTCTTGACCTCAGCACTCTTGGCACTGCAGACTGAGTACTTCTTTGTCGTCGGGATCTGTCCTGGGTGCTGCGGTCTTCAGCAGCATCTTGGCTTTTAGGCACCAGATGCCACAGCAACCCTCTGTCCTTCGCCCCCAGTTGTGGCAGTGATGAATGTCTCCAAGGTGTGTCAAATGCCTGAATCCCGGACGCATTCTGCTCCAGCTGCACTTGCCTCCTTGCTGCCCCTAAAGCGTGCAGCGCACACTCCTGCTCCATCACCTCTTTTAAATCTGTTCAAATGTTACTTTTCTCAGCCTGTTCTAAACTATAACTCCTATACCCCCTCTCTATACTGACCTCTGTTGCACTTTTGTCTCCTAATGTATTGTCTAGTTTGATTCTTTAGTTCTTCATTTTATTCTCTCCCTCATCTTTAAGACTGTAAACCCCACAAGGGCAGGGATTTTTGTCTTTTTTGTTCACTCTTGTATCCCCTGTGCCTAGAGCACACTTAGTACATAGTAGGTACTCAATAAATACTGGATGACTGAATGAATCTGGACTGGGCACATGGTGGGCACACGGTGGGCCTGGGCAAAGGGGGTTGCTCCCATCTGGTCCGTCATCACCGCTGCTCCCTGAGGTCTCCTTTTTGGCAGTGCCTACAAGGACAGACCTGGGTCAGGACCACACGAGCCCCAGGTCCGCCTGATGATGCCCAAGAGCCTCTAGGTGGGAGACCTGGGGCTGTCCTGGGCAGCAGTAAGACCCTTAGGAGCACTAAGCCCCAAGATTATGGGTGCCCCTTCCTCTTGAGTAAGTCAACATAAAACAAGATGGTGCCTGTGAGGTGAGACGGGGAGCACTAACTGTGGGTGTATGAAGTGCTGTGTGGAGTCCAGCCTGCCTTGCCCCTCCAGGGGGCCCCCAGCAGCCCTGCTCGGAGCCCAGAACTGGGAGACCCAGTGGGCAGGTCTGGGCTGTTTCAGAGGCTTGGCAGGGGCCCTGCAGCCTGCAGGGAGGCCGGGAAGGCAGGCTCCTGCCCACTGCGGCACTGCGGCAGTGTCCTGCGGCTCACCACTTCACATTTATAGCTACGGCGCCTCTCAGCTTACTGTCGCTGCAGTGGGAGGCCTGGCTCTCTGGATACCACAGCTGTGGTTGGCTGGGTGCCTGCCTGAGTGCTGAGCTGTGAGGGAGGCTCAGACGTTTCCCTGGACCGTGAGGCCCGGCCCCTACCTCGGACTTGCCCTGGTCTTTCCTGGAACCTCTTCAAGACTGGAGGAAGTGGCCAGCATAGTGAGGGTCCTCTGGGGCCCCCCACCTAGATGGCCCTCCACAAGAAGCAGGAAACATGCCAGAGAGGAGGATGCTCCCTGAGGCTCCAGTGGGCTCCTGGGACAAGAGAACTGATGGAGGAGGTGAGGGTGAGCCATGAGACCAGCAGAGGGGGTCACCAAACTGGGGCTGGGCGGCCAGGAGCTTGAGCCTTGATGAGCACACAGGAAGCACCCAGCTGAATTTCTTACTCCTCCAGGTTGCACCACGAATGTAGTGCACTGACGAATGTAGCAGGTGTGTCTCCATTTGGCCAGTGAAGGGTCTGAAGCTGGAGAGGTTAAGGTCGGTGAGTACCTAACTGCCGGCAGTGTAGTGGGGCAAGGAGCACCATGAGCCTGACTCCTAAGCCCCATTCTTTTCACTGTGGGCCCAAAATTTTGTCTGACTTAGGGAGTGGGGTCCTGCTGGCTTGGCAGAGACCTGAGAGGGGCAAGCCTGGCCCCAGTGCTCCCAGCCAAGAATCTGCCCTGCGCTGGCTCAGCTAAGGGCCCATTCACAGAAGGACTCCCTGCCGCTGCCCTCCCATACCCCACCCCTAGGGCCCCTCGCCCTGACTCTAGCTTGCTCCTCAGGAACTCTGGGATTAGAAGGGCAAGTCAGGGAGGGAGGAAGCTTGGGGCCAGTTCCGAGACAGGCCCCTGGGGCATCTGGAAGCTCATACCCTGCAATGAAGGGAAACCCCAGAGAGCAAACAGGGGAGGGGAAAAGGGCAAGTAGGGCCCTGATTACGGGGTAGGGTATGGAAGGGACCTGTGGGAAGACAGGGCTCACCTTGGGGAGGTGAGAGGGAGGGCAGGTACCTAAAAACAGAACTGATGTTCATGTAAATAGAATACCTATTGGGTATGTTTCTTTTTTAAAGTTAGGATTTATTTCAGTGTTCCCTTCCTCAGCAAACATCCCTGGCATGCCAGCCCATGGCGGTTTAAGCCTGGTAACATGGGCAGTCGCCTGCTTCAGGTCATGGTGTCCTTAATCTGGGTCTCTGAAGCAAAGAGTTCTGTCTCTGCCCTTGAATCTGTACTCAAGCAAACAATCCTCCTACAGATGGTATAGGAAGGGGTGGGGTGAATTCAGTCTGTGAGAATCAGGAAAAGCTTCCCAAGATCTACTCTAAACAGTTTTGAAGATGAATGGTTTTCAGACTCTCCTTTTTCCGTGCAACAAATAGTAAGCACCTACTATGTGCCAGGTATCAAACTAAAAACAAAGACAGGACACAGGCCTGTCCTGAGAAGTCTAGTAAGGGAGTCACATAAATGTCCTGTGTTAAAATGGAAGTGTGTGCAGGGGAGCAACCCATCCCTTCTGTGTGGGTACATGACAACAAGGGTCTGTGCAAGGAGTTGGCTGGCTGGCTTGTCCTGGGGCTTGGCTGAGGCAAGGGGTCCAGCTGCACAGAGACAGGTACCTGGACTTTGCCTTCTTAGGCCTAAGTGCTTTGCAAGTTGCCCAGGGGGTGGGACCACTAAGCAGCAGCCAAGAGCAGGACTGGTGGTTTCAGGCCAGTTGCCTATGGACTGGGGTGTTTGCACAGCTGGGTTCCAGCTCCCATGCCTTCACCCACAAGCTGGATGGCCTTGGGCCCCACACTTGCTTTGAACTCCATTTCCTCATTCCTAAAGTGGAAATGATGATGATACTAGTAACACCTACCTGGCAGGGGTGATGTGAGTAAAGGAGATGATGCAGGCACAGGGCCTCTAACCAGCCCGCCCCGCAGGTAATTGATAAATGGGAGCTATTCTATCTCCCCACAGGGTTACCAGGAGGCAGGAGTGGGTACAGAAGGGGAAGGCTAAGTGGAGGCAAGGGCAACGGTGTGTCAGTTTTGTGAGGGGCCTTACCCCACTGGGGGAGGTGCCTTCATTAGCCCAGTTAGTCATGGGCCATGTGTGTAAGCCTGGCTTCTTCCTGCTCCTCTGATTTTCTTCCCTTTCCTGAACTAGGCCCACCCGGGCAATGACGGTCTGTGACACCTGTGCCCAACAGCCAGGGCTTGGTCCATCTGACCCCCTGGTGGGGAGAGCAGCATTCAGAAATCTTCTGGAGGGCAGAGGCTCTGAGGTCAGCCTGACCGAGGGAGGGGCTCCCGCAGCTCTCCAGGCCCCGGGCTGGGGCCTGAGGCCCAGGCCGGGCAAAGCTGTAGTGTCCCAGTTGCTCACAAGTATCAGTGGTCTTCTGGCAAGCCCAGTGCTGACTTGGCCTTTGTGCAGGCTGCCCTGGGAGGGGCTCCAACAAGATGAATCTTGCGAAAGGCCTGTTACCTGCCAGTACTTGGCATCCAAAATAGAATCTTCAGCAGCAAAGTCTTTAATTCAATGTGTCCCAATAGCGGTTCGGTGTGGGGATAACTATGATCTGACTGGTCCTGAGCTATAATTATGGAGTCAGAATAAAAAATTACAGGCATTGTGTGGGCTTGTTTTAAATATAATGTAATCCACACCATCCTCTCTCTTATTTGCTAGATTTGAAGTGGAGCCTTTGACAGTTGGCACAGGTTTTGCCTGACGTGTAGCAGATAAAAATGGCCCCTGCTCCATGAAAAGGGCATGGTAGGAGGCATCCCCAGACCCTTAACGTCCTCAGCTGCCCACGGCCTGGGCCCACAGTGACATGCGGGCATGCATGGGCTCACATTGTTTACATGCTGTCTCTCTCCAGCTGGCCTCCCTGTCTCCAGCCTTCCCCAGCCAGTTCACCAGTAACATCTCTGTAAAACACAGGCTTGAGCTTAAGAGTCCATTAATGGTTATAATGGGTTATATATAGAGTAAATCTAAACTCTGCCTATAGGGTACATCTAAACTCCAAGCTCCGTCATGTCTTGGCCTCAAACTATCTGTCGGCATCATGTCTGGAAACAGCAGCTATAGAATAGAGGTGAAGTACAAAGGTCCTGCAGTCTGACTTGGTGGGAGCAAACTCAGGCCCCCCCAAGTGTTCTGAGTGTGAGTCTGGTCAGGCTCCTTCCTGGGTGTGCTTCAGCTCCTCCATTATGGTTGCAGGTTGTGAGGATGGAATGAGAGAACACACTCCTGGAGTGACCCCATGCATGTCCCTTTTCCTTACCACCAAATCTCAGTTTATCTATCAAAAAGAAGCAATAGAGTTACTGCCTTTCAAATCAGTATTTTCTAAAATGCAGTATCTTGTTATAGCTGTGTGTGGTACGGTAGGCACACGTTAGTTTAACCTTTCTGGAAAGCAAAACAGAAATGCATATGTAAAACCTTGAAACATGTTTATATCCTATAAATAGGAATCTAACCTAAGGGGAAAACCAAATTGTGGACAAAGGCTTGTGTTTAAAAGATGTTTATTTTAGTGCGTTTTTATACTCTCGAAAAACTGAAAACATAAATGCCCAGCATTTGAGTCAAAGTATTTACAGTGTGCCAGGTCAGAACAGTCTTATGCAGTTATTAAAAGTGCTTATGAAGAATATTTCATTATGTTGAAAATACTCATCATCTAATTCAAAGTGAATAAAGCAAACACAAAATTGCATCTCTGTGATAATAAAAATACATATGACCACAGAAAAAAAGTTGAGATGGAAATATAATAGCAGTTTTCTTTGATGAGCTTACAGGATTTCATTTTCTTTTTTGTTGTTTCTTCATTTTCCAAATATTTTAGAATGGGAATGCATTAATTGTATAATAATTTTAAAAAGAGATGAGCATTTGAAATGTTAGATAAAATGAGAGGGTAGAACTTGATGTCTGGCTTTTGACTATGTCCCTTTCTAATGTGCTGGGATCATTCACAGGGCCTGAGAGATGGCTGTGGAGACGCGGACCCTCAAGGCCCTCCTTCCTCAGGGATAAGCGACAACAGGTCTAGAGCCTGGATCAGCAATTTGCCAACTACAAGGATTCACCAAGTGCATCTGCACAGACTCCCCTTGAGGTCAGCTGCTTTTCTAAAGTCCTTCTGAAATCTTCCAAGTGCCCAAGAACCTTCAATGCCAGTGGAAGTGGGGCGGTGGGCCAGGCCCGCTCTATCCCTGCTGGACCATGGAGTGCTGGTGGCCCCCTGTCCACCTGGGGCTAAGTGGGTTTTCCATCTGATGTGAGCTTTTCTGCCACTCAGGCAAGGGTCTCTTTGGAGTAGGAAGACAGGCCAAGCTCCTGTTACTGCTCTGGGTCCCCTTGCTGTTTGCACATTTGGATTTTGGGGACCCTGCTCTGTGGCTCTGTGTGACCGCACATCCCCAGCTGTCAGGACATGCAGGTCTGTCTGGAGAATTGTCCTGAGGGTGGAGGCCCTGGAACACTTCATTGGAGGGGGTCACTGAAGGACTGCCTTGCGACTCCTGGCCATTGCTCAGGATGTCAGCCCAGAAAAGGCCACCTGGAAGGATGAACGGGGCTCTTGATGAACTGCTGGTGGAAGGAAGGGTCCCATCTGAGTTCAGCGGGGAGGGAGACCTCAGAGGCCAGTGGCCAGTGTCTGGGTCTAGCTGGCAGCTTCTTAGGGCTCGTCCAGGACCTTCATGAATCAGCCATGTGCCTGCCCAGTTAGAAACCAGAGACAGGATTCTGAAACAGAAAGACTGAGACAGACAGGTTTAGAGAGCAAGGACAACACACAGCAGCAACAGGCAGAGACACAGGGCCTGTGACATGGGGAGAGGCCATCCCCACAAGTGGGCTATGCACAGAATAGACTAGCACCTAGAATGTGGCCACCCTCACTGTCATCAGGGAAATGCACATTAGCAAGCCTATGGCCATTTTACACCTATTCAATTAGCACACATTAACAAGACGGTGACATCTCATGCTGTTGAGGCTGTGGTAAAACACACTGCCAGTAGCCCTGTAAATCAGCACAGCCTTTTAGGAAGAAATTGGGCATATAGCTCCCATGTTCATCCTTTTTTATGTGGTAATTCCATTCCTGGGAATGTACTGCATGGGCTTACTTCAACAGAAAAATATCAGGTTTGTACACAAAAGATGATGAGTACGAGACTGTTATGTCCAACATGCTATAGTATAGCTGCTGTGAAAATTTTTAAAAATAGGGAATATGAGGACTATATAATAACATTTGAAGATCCTTATGATATGTGCAAATAAGTAGAAAATAAAACTGTACATGAAAATTAGTAATTACATAAAATAGCCACCTGGATGCTCAGATGGCCCCACCCTTGCTAGTGAACAGAGGTCCTTGACTCCTGCCTGGCCATACAGACACTCTTGTCTCTGAGGGACCTGCCCTGCCCCTCCCTGTCTAGAGCCCTCTAACTATGAGGCCTAATCCTCAGACCTCAGGCTAGTGGGGAGACGGTCCGCAGAGCCTGCCCACCTGGCCAGCTCACTCTGGTAGCCCCAGGAAGTCTGGCTGATGCCTGCTGAATCACTCCAATGTCACACCTCAAGACGCAAACCAGAACAGGTATGGTGGAGGTGGGTCTTCATTTAAGAAAAGGTATAAAGCAATTTTGCAGGCTTTGAAGTGGCTTGCTTTAAGCCAGCTGACTGTCAGCTGGAGCTTCATGGAGTGAAGGCAATTTACAACAGACTGAAGGCAAAGGAAGGAGGAATTGTGGGGCCACTCCTCCTGGCCTGCCCCAAAGGCAGGCACAGGTCTGGTTTGGAACTTGAATCGTCCCATTCTATGTCTTCCTTGAGCCCCTAACTGGCCATCACAGAAGCTGGCACTGAGTGGGAACTCAAGTGATTTGTGGGTGAATGAAAAGGGGGAAACACCACATAATACATGAATGAACAAGAGTCAGCAAACAATTCTGTCTTTATCCAAAGCCTGTCTGGCTTTCCAAATGTGCCCTTAATCATGTGCTGGAGAAGCCATGCCCCTTGTGCGTGCCCCACTTCCTTCCAAGAGATGCCTTGCCTTAGCAGGGGTCGAGAGCATTCAGTGACCATGCTGTGTCCAGACAGACCTAACCTTGTTCATTTGGTCCACACACAGTTACTGAACACAAAGAGGCTTTATGATAGTCTCTGCCCTTGATGTGCTTCAATCTCATGGGAGAGACAGGTGTAAACAATGAAGAGTAATTCAAGGAGAGATCACACTGGTGCTTTGAAGAGAGGTAGCAGAGGTAGGAAATAAAAACATCCAGGAAATGGGCTCAGGATGGGGTGGAGGACCGGGAAAAGCCCCTCAGAGAGGTGGAAACAGAGCAGGGCCTTGAGGACAGGGAGTTTAACCTGGTAGAAGGAGCATCTGAGGGCCAGGGGCGAGTGCAAGAGTCCACTTAGGCCTCCCCCAGCTTCTCACCCACAAGGCTGCCAACAACCTTGGCGCAGCACCAGCCAATCCTGCTCAGACTGATGCAGAGTACAGTCTCAGTCAGAGTCCACACTGCTGAGTGTCCTGAAATTCATCTTGACCATTCATTCAATCATTCATTTGTTTGTATCACAAATACTGCGGATTTGTTCTGTGCTAGGTATTATTATAGGTTTTGGGGGATATAGTGACAAGCCAAGGTCCTTGCCCTTCTAGTGGGGAACACAGTTAATAATCAAAGATAAATTTAAAAATTCACGTTGTGGTAAATACTATGGCAGTATATAAAATAAGGGTTAGGGAAAAGAGTGATGGAGGTGGGGGAGTGGGAGGAGGTATTTAAATTAAAATCTGTATTTGATTTGATATATAAACAATGTGAAGAGGCAAATCAATAAAAACAAAAACAAAACCGGGGAACAACATTCTGAGCAGCAGACCTGGAAAGTGCAAAGGCCCTGAGGCAGGAATAAACTTGGTATATTTCAGGATTAGCATGAAGGCCAGCAAGGTGGAAAAGGAATTGTGGGGTAGGAAGCAGAGTGGTGGGAGATGAGATCAGAGAAGCAGTGGGGAGCCAGGCCTAGTCATGATGCTGGCTCCTGGGTTCCAGGGAATTACAGCATTTCTCACATCACAGCCAGGCTCCTAATTTGAGTTAAAGGTTTCGGGACTGATCCAGGACCTGCACACGAACGTGCTTGACCAGGTGCTGGTACATGCCACACCTTCATCCAGGAATGCCCACTGGGTCAGACAAGGACAGCGGACGAGCCACACCTGGTGTGCCATCCTCACACACGACCACATCCTGCAGCTTCTCTGGTTTCACCAACTGCCATTCCTGTGCTCTCCTCCTCCTGTTTCTCCAGGAAGTGATGTTGGGAGGCCCAGTGTAACTTGAAGCCAGGTCACAGAAGTGCGCTAGTCAGGAGTGAGCAGAAGCAGGATGTGGCTGAAGCACAGGGACCTGGTGGCAGACGGTGCCAAAGAATCGAAGGCTAGGCTAGGTGTAGTATCAGAGGTGTAGGAACCTCACACACATTTGAGGAAGGCAGCAAGGGAGGAGTGGAATGTTTTATAAACATAATTTGGGTAGCATTTTGGAGATGGGCTCAAAGACAGGAAGGAGACCAGGGAGAGAGGTGATAAAACTCTGAACTGGGCAATGCCTACAGGCCATTTCAAGAGATAAAGCTGATAAACCCATTGGACTGACTTGGGGGTAATAGTTGTGAGAAAAAAGTTAAAGATAATAAAGATTTCTACCAGGCAACTGGGCAAACAGAGTTATTCATGAGGAAAAGCAGGTTGGGGTATGTGGGAATATGGCCAAAGTTATGGTGAGGAGTTGGGGACAGGCTGCAGATGATCCGGTTTTGGACACTTTGAATAGATGGTGAATGGAGGCCATCAAGGACAAGATGCCTAGGCCCTGAGGGTCTGGTGTTCAGGAGAGAGGCCTGCAGGGGAAGGACATCAGCATTCAGGCGGCAGTTGGCATTGTGAGTGCTGAGGTAGAGTGTGCAAAGTAGGAAAAGAAGGTTGAGGAAAGGATTCTGGTCACCACTGACATTTGAGGGGTTTGGTGTGGGTGGAGAGGACATACTGAAAGTAGAACAGGCCTGAGAGTGCAGGTTCATGCAAACCAGTGGAGGAGAAACTTTCAAGGAGGGGATGGTCTCCAGTGTCAAATGCTACAGAAGAGTCGGGGAGTGTGGGGACCAAGAACAGGCCACTGGACTTGACACTGGGGATAACAGGAAGAACTTTGGGAAGGACCGATCTGGGATGGCTAGGTTACAAAAGAAAGCCCATAGACAGGAAAGTGTAAGCAGTGAGTACAGACAGCTTTCTGAAGAAGTCTGGGAGAGAACAAATCAATCAACTATGGCTTACAGTGGGGTGGGGTGGGGTGGGAGGAGGGAGTCCAGCTGGGGAATAGGGGGGATGAAACATTTTGTTGACTTAGGTAAGGGAGCAGAAGGAAAGGAACAGGTGCCCCATGACCCTCCCACTTCATTCTTCTCTCCTAACCCCAAACCTCTGGCCTCCGGGGGCCATTCTGGCCCTCCTGTTCAACAGGCATTCAACAGGCATCTCTTCCCAAGTGGTTGTCCAGCCTCTGTCCTTGTTCAGGGACAGAGTGCTCACCCCCGTGCAGCAGGCAGGCAGCCTAATCTATCACAGGATTGGTTCACCTGTTAGAAAAATATTCCTTGGAGATCTCTCACAGATGTGGTATAGTGTGGGGATTTCAATGGCGCTGGGCTTTGTTTGTTCAGATCTTAAAATAAATCAATTTTAAAATTCCTCCTTTTTTCGAGCCCAAATTCATCTCCTTGTAGCTTTTCACCCTTTGATTCTAGTCCTGCTCTTGAGGCTTCCCCTGACAAAGACAGCCTTTCAAACAGAAGGACATGCTGCTCACTTTGTCTTCTTGTCTTAGGCGTGAACATTCCCTGCTCTTCTGATGGCCTCCAGGATTTCTTGCAAACAGACCACACCCTCACCATCTTTTGAAATACATACAACACACAGAGGAATAGATATCGATTCCTCTCAAGCCAGCAGAAGCTAGTGGCTAAGAGCACAAGCTCTAGAGCTAGACTGGCTTTGATCTTGGCTTTGCTTCTTCCCAGCTGGTAACTCTGGGTAAGTCACTTAACCTCTCTGTGCCCCAGTGTCCTGACCTACCTCATTTAGATGTGAGAAATGCATGAAATAGCTCATATACAGTGCTTTGCACAGTGCCTGGGGTCAGTGCTGGATGTGTGTTCACTGCTCTGAGACATCAATGCTCCTTTTGGAAGGGAATGTTAAATCCTGAGTCCTCCCTAAATCAATGCGGCCAATGTCACATGAAGATGCTTTTATTTACCAAAATGTACATGGCTAAGGCCCAATCCTGATTCACAGGACCCTGGTCTGAGGAAAACTGGACATCTGAAGCATTGCTAGGGTGTTCTCAGAGTCCAGGACAAGAATGCAATCTGGGGACAGCGAACGGAAGTGGCTGCATAAGTGTACCTGGAGGCTGCCTTGCTGCGGGGCAGGACCAGGGTGCGTGTGGTGCTCTCGGGCTCTCTCAGAAGTAGGCACCCCTGAAGGCAAATGTGCTGGGTTTTCTGTTAACTGTCACCTCAGACCTGGCTTCAGGCCTGTTCTGTTTGGCACTCCCTGGAGGTTTCTGCTTATCTAAGCATCAGCTGTTCCCGCCTTGCAGGGATTGTCTGACCTCTGCTGTCCACTGTCTGCCATGGCACAAACTTAAAGATGGTCACGGGCTTGGAGCAGGCACGGTAATGGGAAGAAACCTCAGATGTGCACTTCTCTCCTACTTTTTTGACAGTGACTCCCAATATTAGTATTTTACACTGTGTCACACAAACATTTCACAAAGCGATTCTTACCTTTACTATGTGTAAGCACTCTGATATAGTTTCTATTTTTATTTCATTAATAAGAAAAGAAAATTATAATTCACTAAATTGATGTCCCAGCCTCAGGTTTTCTCCTAGAGTTCAGAAAACATTCATTTTAATAAAAAACAAAAACAAAAACATTCACTTAGTGTCTGAATTAGCACCCTAGTTTCCCAAGCTTCAGCCAGTGTGTACTACATCACTTCCAAATAATTAGATTATTTTTTCTTTAAATCAATTCACTTAAACATTTAAAAATGCCCACTACAGCCTAAGTAAAATATTGGTAGTAACACATTTGAGGGCTAATGGTATTTTTTCCCCCCAATACACAGTGAAATAAATTATTTACCGATAAAAAACATTTCCATACCTAAAATCATCATGTGCACCAGGAGTGTCTGCCTTCCTCATTTTGGGAATCACAGATCCAGAGATCAGCCCAAGCATCTCATTTTACAGTGGGGTCACTGAGACCGAGAGGTAACTCACTTAGCCAAGGTCTAGTTTCCCAGTCAAGGGGAAGAAATGCCTTGTCTGGTTGTTGGAGGGTAAAAAGAAAACAAAAGAAACTTATTGTCAGGCACCCATGGCCAAATGCTGTGTTAAGTATCCGTCATCACTCTGGGAGAGTGGCCTTACCCTATTGTCTCACCTTGGTTACCCTGGCGGAACCAAACATCCTGGGTGGCAGACATCCTTATTTTGGGAGGTCCTAATCCATATCATATCATGCATACTACCATTTGTCCACATTGGAACGCCTTAATTTCAATTTGGTTGTTTTCTTTTTGTATTTCAAAGCTTGAAAAATGAGTTTTTCAAGCTTCAGCCATTTTTGTAGGCCCTTACAGAGTTTACAACCCCTAGAGTTACAGCCTGTCACACCTAATGGATGAAGTGGTCCTGGATCTGGTAAAGAAATCTGATTAATGAAGACACACTAAAAGGTAACTTAATTACTTAGGCTCTCTTTCCTGGTATCTTTAAAGGGGAACAACTAAATGTGAGTTTCCAGTGGTGAAATCTTTGCTATTTGGGTAGACTGCTTAGGGCAGTACCACTGCAGGTGGGCCAAATGTCAAGTGACTGGCAAGGCACTCTCACTCTGGGCCTCAGTGGCCTCAGTTTCCTCAAAAAGTAAAACAAAGGGATTAGACTCAATTGATGATTTTCAAAGATTTTATTTTAGCATTGGGACCCTTCTGCAATTAAATCTCATCATCAGGGAAAAAGCAGACCTGCTCTAGTATGGACATCTCTGATCGGCCCTCTGAGTCTAACAGACTTACAGTAAGTTTGTGAAGATATCCAGGACACTCCCACCTAGGTGTCTGCAAAGATAAAGAGGTTTTCTACAGACAAGGGCAGGTTTAGAGACCCCTGGAATTTCCAAGGCCTTTATCAGATCTCAGCTCTAAAAAACAGTATAGTGTTTTTCAAACCTCTTTGAAAGTGGTGCAGTGAAAAAATTAAGTTCACATCAACATATAGCACCTATGTACTGAAACACAAGTTTTCACGAAACATGCCTTTATACTGTAAAATAAAAAACTGTATCACATCTGGGCTGGGTCAGGAACATTTTGGGAATATAATCCACAAACCTCTTATTGGGAATGGCTTATATATCTGATGAAATACTTAAGCAATTATCTGATGAACTTTAATGGGATTAAGACCTCTTCTGAGAAACCTTTAACCTATGCACTCAGCTCATGTCACCTTTGGGAGGGATCCATTGGCCTTTAAATCATCTTTCAGTAAAGCTAATAATTCTTTTTTTTTTTCCAACATAGTCAACAAATTCTCTTTATTCCTTTACTAAATTCTTGGAGATTCCTATTGTTGAAACAAGGTCAGATTTCATTTTGGTTGTTTATGGCACAATAATATTGTGGCAAGATTTACAAATATATAGACAGTCTAAAAATATCTTTGTACATGGTTTGGAGAGCTATCTTCCCAAGTGTGCTTTGAGAAATCCTTCAGAGAACAAATGCTATGGGACTGTGCTCTCATTACTGTGGTTTTATTCCTTATTCCAATTCACACATTGATGACAAAGATGCCCTTAGGTTTTTGTACTTGTGCAAAATAAAGCTAATAATTCTTAATCAGAACTTTTTTTTCTTATATCCAGTCTAACAATGATTATCTAACCATTCTCATTTCTGATGAAATGTCCTTACCAGCAGGTACTTTTGAATTGGCCAGGTAGGACAGAAGCCTATTCCCCTGCCACAAGATTGTAATAAAAACTTTGACACCACATTTTAACTAAATTGCCTGAAGCTTTTTTTTCCTCTCCTATCCAAACCTTCCCTCCCCTTCTCTCTCTTCCCATCCTTCCTTTTCTTTTTCTTTCTTTTTTTTTTTTGTTTTTTTTTTTTG